TCCGATGTCTATTCTATGTAATATGTGCAGTTACTCCTTTTCAAGAGTTGGTGGTGTTCCCAGTCCTTCAGAACTTAGCAATCAGCATTGAAACACTGAAATATTTTTGGCAGAGTACAGTAGCTATTTAGCAGGAAATCAAACTGTCTTGGAAGAAATACAACTCACATTTTTTTGTCTTCAAACTATACCAGTGAAACTTGTGAGTTGCATTTTTAGAGCGATTATTGATTGGAAGTTCTGCCATTATCAAGTCAATGTTGTAGAATTATTTCCATGTATGTTTGCAAATTGGAAACATGTTGATAAACTGTGTGTATTCTAGGGAAGTAAAGTTGACTAGTCCCTGCTTTAAAACATAGTTTTAATCCAATTGCAGAATAAATTCCCAGTGGATCATACCAGGGCATGCCATGCTTGTAGAAACGTTGATAGAAAAGCTGCAGTCTTCACTTTTTCACTCCTGGTATGCTTTCTTAATTACTAAATTGGAAATACACACCCACTCACATTTCAGTAGGCCTCCAACTTCCTGTAAGAAGAAAAATAAAAACCCATTGCTGTAGTTAACTTTTAGCAAATATAAGAAATGTTAGTTGGATAGCAATGATGATAGCAATAGCACTTAGACTTATATATTGCTTTATAGTGCTTTACAGCCCTCTCTCTAAGCAGTTTTACAGAGTCAGCCTATTGCCTCCAAAAGTTTGGGTCCTCATTTTACCCACCTCGGAAGGATGGAAGGCTGAGTCAACATTGAGCCTGGTGAGATTCGATCTGCCAAATTGCAGGCAGCTGGCTGCAGCAAAAGCAGCCTGCAGTACTGCACTCTAACCACTGCGCCACCGAGGCTCTTGGATCATGAACCCAGGGGCACAAATAAGTTTTTCAGATTGCCATGGATGGTCAAAACATAATTGTATAAGACAGGGGTCCTCAACCACCGGGCCGCGGACCGGTACCGGGCCGTGGAGCACTCTCTACCGGGCCGCAAAGAATTTTTTTTTTAAAAAAAATGGCGGCTTTCTTCACCTTCGGTGAATGCTGCTGGGATCGGGGATCAAGGACACAAATGAAAGAAGGGGAGGGAGGAAGCAACCGAAGCCTGTCCTTCTCTCTGGCTCAGCTCTCTCAGTCGCTCTCTCGCTCCTCCACCAGCCCAGGAAGAAACTGCTTCAAAGAAGGGGGGGGCTTTTCCTGTCGCCGCAGCGCCTCCGAAGCACCCGTTTCTCCCCCACCCCCACCCCATCTGCTCGCCCGCGCGCGCGGGGGGTTTACCCAGTGCTCCGTTCTGCCTGCCTGCCTGCCTGCCTTCGTTAATGGTTGAATCGGAACAGCTTCGGCTGAGTAAAAGAGGCGAATAATTATTATTCTCAGCCGAAGCTGCTCCCAAACAACCAGAAACTAAGGCAGGCAGGCAGAACGGGACACTGTGGATTGAAGCGCGCGGGCGGGTGGGGTGGGGGTGGGGGTGAAACGGGCGCTTCGGAATAGCTGCGGCGACAGGAAAAGCCCCCCCCCCTGGGCTGGTGGAGCAGCGAGAGCGCGAAGCCTCCTTCTCTTCTCTCCCCCCCCCCCCGGTCCTTGCAAAAATTTTCTGCTTGAAACAGGTCCCTGGTACAAAAAAGGTTGGGGACCACTGGTATAAGATTATAATAATAATATAATTTGATATAATCGTAAAGCTTGCCAAATACTTTGGAGTCTACTAAATGTCATGAATCTCCAAAGAATCTGAAAGGAACGAGAACTTTTGTTGTTTCCCGAATACCTTGCCTACTTTGAATATCAATATCTTTTAGGCAATCCCTTTGTCTGATTCTGCATTGAGGATTGAGGTTAATCCAATCAGGAGAATTGTGAAAGAGGCATTTCCAGGCTGACTTCAAAAGAACAAGTCATCCTGTGAAAGTTTTTCTCATTCTTTATGAACTGTTTGCAAATTACTTTCTGTAAGACCAGATAAGTGTTGCAGCCAATAGGAAGGAAGGATATGTTCAAATTAGTGATACACTGTAGGTTCTTATTCTAATCCATGCTTTTGAAGATAATGGCCAATTTGGTCCATAAATTGTGATCGGTGTTTGCTTATTTTTCTCCATAGTTGTTACATCTACTGTGTACTATGCTATGCACCTTGATACTACAGTTTTCAAAGGAATGGAAAACCCTAGATTCTTGAACTGCTGTTGAAGTTAACTCCTGTCACTTTAACTCTCCTTTGTAACTTCTTTTCCTTTCCTTCTTCCCTCTCTTCTTCTCTCTCCCCTTTTTACCCCCTTGTCTCTCTACCTCTATTTCTCTCTTCTGTATTCCCCTTTTCTGTTGCTTTCTGGTATTATACTTATTTTTCGAATTATTTTTTTTTTCTTTGGTTGTTTTTTTAAGTCTTAAATTCTCCATTTTCTTTCCCCCCTTTCCTTTTTCTTCCCCACATAAAATTACTTGTTCATTAAAGATGGCTTCTTCTTTGTCCCAGTCTTCTTGTTTTGCAGTCTTGTTGTTTCTCATAGTTCCAAATCTCCATTTCTAAGAATTGAAAAACAAAGCCCAAAGGACCCTTCCCTTCTTGTGCATCTTCTTTGTACTTTTTAAGTTCCATTTTCAATTCATCCAGAAGTGATGCCATTGTATAAATTTTTAAACAACCACCCGATTGATTTTAGTCATTCAAATATAATAACCAAAAATCCAAAGATCACCAAATAATCCAAAATGTACATGCAAGCTGTTTCTTTTTTGCTCTTTTTTTTCACTTTCTCTTCCTGGGGTTACTATTTAGTTGCAAAGTTTCAGTTAAAATGTATCTTTTAGAACAGGGGTCCCCAACCACTGGTCCGCGGACCGGTACCGGTCCGTGGAACAAGTCCTACCGTGCCGCTGGTTTGCTGGGCGCCGCCATCTTTTTTTGATGAAAAAGTGCTTCTGGTGAGCTTTTCCGGGTAGAAAGCTCACCGGAAGCACTTTTTCATCAAAAAAAGATGGTGGCGCCCAGCTAATGCCGGTACCGGGCCGCGCCATAAAAAAGGTTGGGGATACCGGGCCGCGGCATAAGAAAGGTCGGGGATCACTGTTTTAGAAGTCTTGCTGAAGTTTTACTTTAGATTCTTTTTAATTCCAGGCAGTCTCCTTCCTTTTCCAGATCCTGCCCTTATTCTTTTTCTCTCCCTTCCTGCTTATGAAAAAGAAAGTTTTTAATGTCAGAAATCTTTATTATCCCTTTGGCATTTTGTTTTATTTTCAGCTTAATTGCCTATTGATGTCAAAGCGGATTTTTCCGATCTCTTATTTAAGTCTCTTAGTTGTCAGTATAGGGAAGGAGAGAGAAGGAAAAAAAAAGGCAAACCTTTCCCTTTTCACTTTCCTTTGCTGCTTCCAACTCTTCTTTGAGAGCGATGTTATTTTTTGTAAGTTTAAATTCCAGTGTACCTTGGTTGTTGCTTTTACAATTTAACCCAGTCAGCCAAAACTTTCACTTCTTATCTTCCCCCTGCACATTCTTTTCTGGTCGAGTTCTTTGTGGTGGCCATTTCTGACCACTGCTGCAACCGCCTTCGGGAAAGGGAGTAATGGCCAGCTGTGGAGGAGAGATGCGGCTTTCCTCGACCCTGCTGGCAGTCTCCTCCCTCTTCACCACCTCTACGGGGTGGCTTAGCCCCGAAACCAGCCGGCTCGGGGCACTCCAGCGGCGAGCCCAGACAGAAACCGTGCACGATCACGGATTTCTGTCTGTCGCCGAAGCCCTTCAAACCGGAAGTCCCTGTCACTTTAACCCTCATAGCCCATAGTGAAAGATACCTGGAAGGTGAAGCTCTGTAATAATTAAAGGACTACTGGTTCTCTTATTCTTGCCATGAATGAGTTCTATTTCCCATTTTCTCTATTTTATGCTTTCTTAAGCATTACCATAGTTTGCTAGATAACAATGTCCTGATTCTGCTGTATAATTTGTACACTTGTCTATTAAAAAAAACTTTTTTTCATTATGAATGGCTAATTTGAAAGTTGTTCATGTTTGCTGCTTCATCATAATGTATTGCACAGGTCCTTTTTTAAGGTATAGGTCATCTTTTAATAAATTTACAAGCCTTTGGTTCCATTTCTGTGGCCAATGACGTCGTGTTACAGTTGGAAAAATGTTGAAGCAGAAAAGAAATGTTCCGATTGGTAATTGGCTTGTTAGTGATGTGTGAAAACTTACAAGTTTTACAGTAATGAATATAACCTTGAATTTCTCAGCTATTTGTCAATCCTTATGTTCCTGTGAAATAGCCTTTTGGGAAAAGGAAGTGCTGCATAAAAAGTCTCAAATGGATTTATTTTTAAACAGCATTCAAAAGTTGTTAGTTCTTGAATAGTATCTTATATGTGAGCCTACACCATTGTTGGAGAAGAAGGTACAGAAAAATGCTGAATATGGAACAAGGCCCAGAAATTTTGGTCTTCAATTTGACTTCTTTTGTGGGAAGTTATTGGAATGACACTTCCTTCTAATACTGGAAGGAATTTTATCCTGTTGACAGTAAAACAGAAAGGCTACATATTTTGATTTAATGTAAAGTATAGAAGTTAAATAAATTTCTCTTTAAAATATATATATATCTCACAATAAATAATGAATATATTTTGCCTTACAATATACTTTATTATATGTTTAAAAAGGATCTGTTATTTTTTTTTACATAAAGCATTGAAAGATTACTGCAACATCGATATGGCTTTTGTGGCTGAATTACACCTATGTGATGTGAGTGCTTTAATATTTAACCATTAAAGGACTGAATTCACAAGGCAATATAATAGACTTGTCTAATGCTTTGCACTTAATTTGGAAATAGAGCTTTTCAACATACATAAATGAGAATGCAACACATTAAAACAGGCAAGTCCTATTCCAGGTTCACCTGATTGTTGAGGAAAGATGCATAGCACTAATGTTAGAAACATTACTGATATGAAATACGTGTTTTAAACTGTTTTTCTTCTTTTCTTAATTCTAGATTTCTAAATCAACACCGTGCATGGTTCTGTGTTTGGGCTTTAGTTGTAGAAGAGAAATGCCTACCATGTGCTAGGATACAAGGTTGTGGATCCTTTTATTTCCGTGGTTCTGGAATATAAAGAGAGAAACAGGACAAAATGGGGAGGAAGAAAATACAAATTACAAGAATAATGGATGAGCGGAACAGACAGGTGAGAAACGATACTTCTTTGGTAATATACTTAACTGGCATTCACTTTTGTAAATGTTTTGGGAAGGACTACTTTTCCAAGCTTTCCCCCTACAACCTCACCCTGATAGCCATCATGGACAGGAGCTACAAAAGAAAGTATGATGAAAGTATTTTTATTTGGTGATATATTTATTTCTTATTATCCTAAGCCTAACGTTATTATTAACTTTATTTGTGAGGATTGCACAAACTCATTCATCATTTTTTTTTAGGTTCAAAGTATTGCAAAAGTTTGAGAACCCCTGTGTTAACCTATCTATAATGTATTCGGATTTAAGACTTCTTTTTCCCTGTATGATATAGAATACTCAGTGGGTTTATAATGATATTTCCAATGCACTGGAATGGAATGGAATGTGCTTAGAAGAGCTACACGTGACAGGCTTTTACTCAATAACACAGATTTATATATAAAAGTTTGTCAATTACTTGAAGCAGGCATTCAATCATAGATTTCTCTGAGCAGTGTTAGAAGTTGTAGCTCTTTCTTTAACCTACATCTCTTTGTTTAAAGCTCTTTGATAATCATAGCTTGGACACACAGTCTCTTTTTGCTTAGTTTGGGAAGCTTTGCAGCATCCCATTCTATTACTGTGATGGCCAATTATGTCATTCACTTCCCTTTCATAAGAAAGGCAAAAATGCAATTATAATCCAGGGAGAGAGTAACCTACTGCCTTGTGCAAAATGGTGCCAACAAATGGTGTAGCCATGCTCATCCTTTACTATTTGGCAATTTTAGCCACTTACTGGGTCCTTCCCAAGGACCTGGGATACGGAGTTATTGTTTGATGTTGTTAAATGTATTGACACAGGATTTAAGCTGTTTCAAGTAAGGCTGCCTTTTACAAATGACTAATGGTGAGGTTGTCAACGCCAATGGTGATGTTCCAGATTGCACTGAAGTCTGTTTTTCTGTTGTTACTATGTTTGCTTTCTTTTGCCTCAGTTGTTCTATTTTGATTGGCAGGTTTTTGATTTTGCTATTTTCTCTAGTTCTTTCTCTTCTCTTCTGCTGTCTTCAGGTATTACAGTTTCTATTACCCAGACTTTTTTGTCTGTCTTATCAACAGTTATTAAGTCTGCAGTGTTTATCTCTTTGAATTCTGATATTCTTTGGAAAGGAAAAAAGCCCCAGAGCTGCACTTTTGTTACTTCATTTTCTGTTACTTTGTCTATTTTGTGATCCCAACATTTCTTGCTTGCAGGCAAATGGTATTTCTTGCAGATATTCCAGTGTACCATTGTTGCCACTATATCATGCCGTGGTTTGTAATCAGTCTGTGTGATCTTGCAGCAGCTAACTAGATGGTCCATTGTTTCTTTAGCTTCTTTGCAGAGGCGGCATTCATTATCTGTTGTTATCTTCTCAATTCTGATTTTCTATGTGTTTGTTCTTAAAACAGCCAGAATTAGCCCTTCTGTCTCTTTCTTTAACTTTCCTACTTTTATCCATTGTATCCATTGCCAGGTCTTGTTATCTGCTTTGCCTTCTTCTTTTTTTAATGGACTGGCCATGTAATATGCCTTTCCATGTCTCTATTCTTCTTTTGGACTTTCTCGTAAGCCAGTTTGATCTCTCTGGCATTCAGTAAACTTTCATAGTGTGCTAGCTTTGGTCCATTTTTCCCCACTTTTCTTCAGATACTCTTCCAATACCTTTTCCCCCCCCTAAAGGTTTGGTGTACTTTCAACATTCCATATCCACCTATTTTCATAAGTAGTAGAATCTGGATAAAAGGGCATGATTCATTGTCCTTGTTTTCTGATCTTCCTGACATCACAGCCGGTTTATGCCATAATCTTTCAATTCTGAATTTCATACCATGAATACTTATGATCTTATCTAATTCTTTACAGTATCTTCTGTTCTACTCTTCCCTCCCCATTACCATATTAATTATCCATACTTACTACTTTTCAACCACAGTTAAATCTGTTGTGCTATGAGCTAAGATTTTGTACTTGAAAACCCCACACGATCTCGTTTTGACTACTTTTTCAGTAAGTTAATTATTGATTTTTTTTTACAGATGTTCCAGTGAATCATTTTGGCAACTGTGTTGTGTTCTGGTTTATGATCAGTTTGTGCAATCTTCTTGCACAATTATTGCATTATTATTATTAAATTGTAAGCTTGTGTTCAATGACTACATTATTTTTCATTGGTCTATCTAGAGAGCAGGTTCATACTATCTTAAAATTAATAATTGTACCATTAAAATGATAGAAACTTGATTTAATAGTATCTGGTTCCTTCCACATACTCCTTTGTTGACAGAGCAGATGTGGGTGGGTGTTGCAGAATATTGTGTTCTATAGGGAAAAAACGAAATAAAGTAGCAAAAAATAAAGTGTTAAAAATCATGTGGCAGCAGCCAACTAAGTCATTTGTTTCTGTGTATCCTTTAGAACTATTGTTCTGGCAAACAGTTCTAACAAGTAAAGGCAGCTAAGGATACTAGGCTTAGTAAAGCTATAGAAAAGGAAGAACTAGTAATTGTATCTATCTTCAATCTTCCTAATGGCCACAGTTGCCTGTTGGGAAATTAGGAGTTGCGTGTGACAGACAGCACTTTCTGTGGGATGGAACTATAAAAGAGATTAGTTAGTTGATTTTTCATTTGTAGTACTTGACTTCTAACATTTGAAATCTTCCATTTCTATTCCAAATGTATATCCAATAATATTTCTGGTCATTTTTGGAAAAAATATTTGATTGGGTAGAAAGGTATGATGAACTATGCAACAATCTCTCTTTCATTTCTCTTTCATTACAGACTATGATGATTTTATACTGTGATAGGAACCCTGTTGTGTTGTTCTTGCCCAGATATTTTTAAAAGGTTTCTAGTCTGTTTCATCAATTTCTGTGATGTGTGTATTATTTATGTATAATATTAACCCACTTTATTAATTCTATATTAACCTATTGTCTTTAAGCTGGCTATTGGCCTTTTAAATAAGATGAGTATTTCAACTGAAATGTTTCCAAAGCTGAGTATCAAACCACCAAATCTCAGATTTATCAGATCATATACTTTGCTTTATTAAGATTTCATCTTCATACATTAATCTATCTAAGCACTGAATGGTATTCCTTCAAACACTTGTGCAATTCACAGTCCCTAAATTGAATAAATGCATTTACAATTTCTGCACCCCCACTATATATCGAGAAGTATTGAGAGAAAGATGCATTGCCCCATTAGGAGTGATTAATTTAATGTTTACTTTGGCTTGTAGACCTCCTAATAAAATCTTTTAATTATCTTTAATACACGTGGCATATCAGCTCTCTAGAGATAGACTTTAGAACCAGTGGGAATTTCCAGGAATTGAAAATTGAGTGATCACTTTTCTGAAAGTGAGAATTAGAGATCACTATCAGTTTATGTAGTGGACCAAAAAATTTTTATTAGTCTCATAATATTTGAAAACATTTCTAAAGGTGTTGTAATCTGTTTTTAAACCTTTGTTTTTTTCCCTACTGTGTAGATTTCATGTGTTTTCATTGCAACAGAGCTTGCACTGACCATGCTTACAATTATGTTGGAAAGTTTGGTGATCTAAATTTACAGATTAGTCCAATGTGATGTGCAGGGACCTGTCTTAGAATTAAATTAATCGCTGGACAGCATAAACAGAATGCTTTGACTTACTGTTTTCAAGAAAGCTACTTCTTGGCCATCCTTGCAAATTATCCCAATTTATTGTTGTTTACTCCCTTTCCTGTGCTCTTTGTCTCCCAATCCTAACCCTGTTCCTAGAACAATGAGTCTTGTTTTATCTTACAATTACTAAAAGATTGCCAGTAATCATATTTTATCATTGTTTCTATCTTTTATCTCTAAAGCTCCAAAACAAAATTGTCTCTAGGTATTTGCATGTGTTTCTCATAGACCGGTTTATTTTAATGTCATTTCTAAGTAAGTGTTTTTTAGTTCCATTTTTAACTGGATCAGATATAAGTGACTGTGGAAAACTATATTTTTAGTATGTTTGGTAAAAAACAAAGCGAAGCATAAACAAAGTCCTGGGGAGTTTTCAATCTGTTAAAAAAGTTTCAATCTGATAAAACACAAAGGAACAACAGTTTCAATCTGAGAAATTTACTTTCTTGTCATTATGTAGCATTTCAAGGAGTTACTTCTGTATCTGGTTACAGTTAATTAAATAATCAAATCAATTATGATATGATACAGTTGCTTTCGGGAAAGTAAACTGGAAGCAGAGGTTCTGTGCACCATCACCTGAGCTATTTGGAGGAAGGTCTGTACACTATAAAAATATTATAATTCTATATCTCTGAACAATATTTGGACATTAAAACTCTGGTGACATTTTTGTAATGTTTCTGAGAAGCAAGCAAGAAAATGGCTATTGGAACAGATCCACTGTGAACATGTAAACCTCTTAACTATAACTGGAGTATGTTTAGACTTTGGTTTATGTGGGAGATGCACAACCAATTAAATGTCCCTGAAAAGCACCAATTTTCAGATGCTTAGAATCCTTTTGCTTGGTGACTTGTTCAGTTTTGCAAAGGCTAATTCCTCATCCTAGCCCTTTCCTACTTACATTGAGAAATTACAAAGATCCCAGTATCTTTTCTTTTGTAGGTAAAAAGTAACTTGAGGAAGGTAGAAAGATGGTAGATTGGGAACAAACACGCAGCCTATGCACAATTGTGCTGAAATGGCTGCCGCCTTTTTAGTTTAAACGTCAAGTAGTTGGAGATGGGATTTTGACTGATGACTCAAAAGAAAACCCATAACTGGGAACTTGAATAAGATACTAAACAGTCCTGCAGGCTTGCTGGCAGGAATTCTGTCTGGCGCATACTTTATCTATCCATCTATCCATCCATTTTGGAGTTCATTTCTATTATCTTAAATTATACAGACGAATTCACCAACAGGACAAATGCTTTAACTATGTCCTTAAATTGTTTTTACTTGTTAAAGTATTTGGTTGACAAGACTTCCTATCTGGTGCAATTTGCAGCGAAATAATCTCTTCTAGGAATGTTTTCCTGACAGAGCTGTGTGAACTCACTTTTGGGACAACTGCCAGATATGTGTATATCTGTGTGCTTTATTTGACTCTTGATCTCACTTATTACACATGTTTGGCCAGTATCCCAGAAGGAAGTAAGAATGAGCAAATGGATGGCTTTACATGAAAAACTGCTTTATCATTCTGAAACTCGTATTCTTGCATTAAACGTTCTGTAGTCCTATGGGAATTGCCGAGCTTTATTTGTCCCTGGAGCAGTCCCACGTACCTGCTTTTACATTAGAGTAGCATTTAATAATTATTACAGGTGATCCTTGCCTTACAATCACAATTGAGCCTCAAATTTCTGTTGCTAAGTGAGACACTTGTTAAGTGACTATCGCGTCACTCTTCTACCTTTATTGCCACAGTTGTTAAGTGAATCACTGCAGATGTTAAGTTAGTAACCCAGTTATTAAATGAATTTGGCTTCCCCAATGACTTTGCTGGTTAGAAGATCGCAAAAGGGGATCAAATGACACCAAGACATGGCAACCATCATAATAATATCAAGATAATGTGAATGTATAAATATGAACCCATTGCCAAGCATCCGAATTTTAATCCTATGATCATTAACATGCTGCAATGGTTGTAAGTATGAAAAACGGTCATAAACCACTTTTTTCAGTGCTGCTATAAGTTTGAATGGTCACTGCATGAACTGTTACTCTGTAGCTGTACTGTTCATTAAAGCAATCTGTCACTGTTAGATAATGGGCATCCTTCCAAAAACAGATGGAGCAGCTTCTTTGCTTTAAAGTACTGAGCCATATTGTTCCTGGTTTTTTTTAAAAAAAATCAAATATGACAACAAGTAAGAAGGAAATGTTGTGGTTTTTCTTCTCAAATACACTGCCTTGGAGTTGCACAGCCAATTATGCAATTTTACTTATGGAAACCTAAAATCTGTTGAAGTCATTGCTTGAGGCCAAGTATGATATTCCCAGTGATTTTGCAGGTCTAGTCTATAACTAATTGTTCCATTACAGTATTTATATGTGTGTTAATTTGCTGGACTATCCTTAGAGAAATAGACAACACAGAAAGTCAGAGGCTTTCTTCCTTGCCTTTGTGTAACATTATGTTCTTTCTGTGCTGTTCATGCATATATATGTTTTCAGTGTTTTTTTTATAAGTAATAAATTGTTTAATATGTTTATCTGATTATATGTTATCCCCCCCCCCCAAACAAACAAGCTTCTTGGCATGGGAAACACAGCAGAAAATACCAGAGGAATGAAAAATATTTGTAGAGGTCAAGTAGATCCTTCCCGTTTAGAGAATATGCTTTCAAATTATGTATTTCTTCCAGGGGGCAGCACAAATTAACATTGGATGATGGTGAGAACAAGTGGTTATCCAATCTCTTCTTAAAAATCTCCAGTGATGGAGCACCCACAACTTCTGAAGGATGATATTTTTTGCCTAATGATAATAATAATAATAATCATCATCATTAATCAATCATCAATCATAATATTTTGCCTAATAATATTTTATGGTCTATTTTGGGAAGAACATCCTAAGTTCATGGTTGACTTTGTGTCTATGTGTATTCACTTATTTCTGTTTTTAATCAATTTCTCTGTTGATAAAAATAATAGATATATAGAATAAACTATCTCGGCAATGATAAGATAATCTTGATTTTCACTTTCTTTTGTGAACACCATTAAAAAAGTACCATTAAAAAAAGAAATTCTGATGCCTGCTCTCAAAAAAGAATATATATATATATAAACACACCTGTACACACACATACATACACATATGCTAAAAGACAGTTTGTTCATATTTTTCTGGAATATTAAGACTATATAATACAAGAATTGTACAGTTTTGAAACATAGATTCCAAACTGCAATTTTGTGATATCCTGTAAAGATGCTCTGTTAACATGAAAAAAGGTAACCTGAAAAGTCTGGTGGGCCCAGCTGTTCTGGAAACTTATTCAGACCTTTGCCATTAAATACATCCAGTTGAAATATTTCTTCCCCCCTTTTGTGTTTAGGTGACTTTCACGAAAAGAAAGTTCGGGTTAATGAAGAAAGCCTATGAACTAAGCGTGCTTTGCGACTGTGAAATAGCACTCATAATTTTCAACAGTTCTAACAAGCTGTTTCAATACGCCAGCACTGATATGGACAAAGTTCTTCTCAAATACACAGAATACAATGAACCCCATGAGAGCAGAACTAACTCGGATATCGTGGAGGTAACAGATTACCCATTCCCTACTTCATGTATAATAATTGTATTAAATATTAAATTAATAAGTGGTATTTATTTCAAGATAGATCATTGTTCTCTTCAGTTCTCATTGCTAGTTTGGTGTAGTGGTTAAAGTGTTGAATTAGTTGGGTGGAAACCCTGATTCTAGTCTATTCTGAGGTAAAACCTCATTGGATAAATTTGGGCCACTCTGTCTCTCTCAGCCCCACCTAGCTACAGAGTTGTGGGATAAATGGAAGTGCTATCTATGCTGCTGTCACCTTCTGAATGAAAGGTGGCATATAAAAAGACAAATCATTGTCATTATCATCATCATCATCTTGAACACCCCCTAAATAAACAATCCAGGAGATGAGTCAGGTACATTAGCCTTTAGATTTAGATTTATTTGGCCAGGTTCAAGTTACTGAAAGCAGAGTTTAAGTAAGTAGAGACTTTTAGTGGTTCTTTAACAATATTCACTTGGGGTAACAAATTGGACTTTTGGAGATAGGGGAGATTTAAGGAAGCTCAAAACCTGAACAGTCCGATATAATTCCACAGATCTGGGGAATCTCTTCTCTAGTTCCAATTCTTTCATTCTTGGTGATAAAAAACTATAATAAGTTGAGTTTTTAATTCTGGCTACATCCTTTAACTGCCAGTACTTCAAAGCAGAATTTCCAAATAATTCGAGGTCCATTTTTTAATTCTTGCAAGTGATAATAGCGCAGTTTGCCTACTACAATACAGCAAAGAAAATGCATTATGTTCCATATTCAAGTATGTGTGTAATTAGATGGATTTTACTCTTCCTTTAAAAAAAGACACCCTACAACATCTTGAACTAAGATGTTTCTACAAAAATTAGACTAGATTTTTCTTGAGATTTAAGAAGCACTGATTGATATTTAATCTGTTTCCTGTCTCCAAGAAAGGCCTGTTTAAAGTACATAAAAAAGGAAGCTTCTCAGGACATATTACCATATTTTGTGTTGTCCTCCAATTTGTCAGTTTTTCAAACTTCCTTTTTGCAGGAATACTTCTGCCACAATATATTTAATGACACATTCCTTCTATAGTGATTGAAATAGCTTATTTGCTATGGTGTACATACTAGGCATGATTTCATGATTTAAAAGTAATATTCAGTACTTTGGGGCATGTGATAATTCTCTATATGTAGTCTTACATTATGTAATGGTTTTGGCTGATCAAAACTTTTGTGTTCATAAATTAAAGGCCATTTTATTAACTGAATGGGAGATTGGGTAGGACATCCTTCTCCATCTGTAAGGAAAAAAGCGAATCCACACCCCACTGCTAGTCCTGCTTGCTAGAGGTCTGGACCCAGCAGATAGAAAGTCAAAATCAGTGCTGGTCTTTAGAATACTGAGCTGAGCAAAGAAAGGTTCGTTCCTTTCTTCATATCTGCAGGACTTTAAAAAAAAACCATCAAACTTGTTTTGCTTCCAGTGGTCTCTTATGTATGGTGAGCGTGAGTTTCTGCATAAGATTCTCTTTGTATATTACTTAAACAGAATCCCAGTCATGATGAAAAAAAATAATCAGAGATCTTTTGTAGGCCCCACAGATCAGCTGTTCTCTTTATGGTGTAACTAAAACAAAAACCGATTTAATTCTTATGATCATTCTGAAATGGATTCTTTTTTTCTTATTAATAATCCTATTTACAAATCAACCAAACATTCATTATTTTTAAATTAGAAAAGCTACTTGTGTAGCAGTAAAATGTTGTTTTTGTTCAGGCTGTTAAAAACTCCTCGGCCTTGTGTCCTCTCCCTTTCAGGTTTCTCTCCCCCATTCCCCCCTCCCCCCCATAAGGGTTTCCTCTCCTCCTGGCCTCCCCGTTGTGGATTGGTGAGATAGCTTTTTAAAGGTAATGCTGTGGAAAATGACACATCTATAAGATGTGAGCATGTGATTGAATGGAGCAGATGGCAGCAGTTGGCTAACCTTGTTTGGTATAAGCATCTAAGCCCAATCAGTCCTGGCTAATACTTCAGCAGGAGATTTTCAGAGGATACTATAGGTACTACTCTCTATAGGCTCTGCTGAGAAGATGAAAAAAAATCTTCCCAGAAGAAGACAGTGACAAATTACTTCTGTATTGCTGCCAAGAAAACTTCAGATCTATGAAGTCACTAGTAGTTGAGCTTGATTTTAAGGAGGCTTAACCTTAAAAACCATGTAGAACTGGGAACATGTTGGATGATATGCAGGGATTAACTTCTTAGTTAAGGATGTAAATCTTGTTCAGGAAAACAATTCACTCATGTGAATTTCTTCTTGAAGAAAGAATAGCTGTTAGATGTCTGAAAGGCTCTTATGAACATTAATCTTTCTTCCTAGCTTACAAAAGTGTTAACATTATTGAATGTATTCATATTAAATTTTCAGCAGTCGTTGACTTAATTTGGGAAGATATTGTAAATTCCCCCCCCCCCCAAAAAAAAAAATTATAAAGTTTTGAGTAGAGTGGGATGCATTTAGTATAAACATTTGAAAAATGTTTATTTATACTAAATCCAACATATTTTGGTTTATTTGTGTATTAGAAGTTAATGTTCTTTCATAGTAGGTTTAGCTACAATTAGAAATGGCAAGGGGTAAAAATAGGTCTAGCAAAGCACCACTCTTGTTATTGTTTAGGAAGGCCAATCTGTTACACACTTAATATTTCCAGAAAATGTTGAGAACTTCTCACAAAGACATTTCCTCCCTGAAAATCGGTGAGTGTAGTGAACAGTTGGTACGGATTCTGTGTTTGTTCCAAACAAATTATAGTGAGTGGATTAAAATGAAATGAAATGCAACACTTTACTGACCTTCGACAAACCTTATTTTATATAACTTTGTAATTACATTTCCCAGTGGCTGGGATTTTGCCAGCATCATGAAAAATCTGGGATATGAAGGACTCCATCCATTGGATCATTTACAAGGTTGTTTGGATAGTTGATGTTGTTAGATGAAGGATGGATGTCAGAGTTCCAAGCAGCTGTGCAACTATAAATCAAAAGTTTTTAAGCACAAAAGAAAATGGTATTCAAAGAATGGGACTATTTCTTTGGATTCCAGTATAGCAAGATCAGAATCATGGTTTCAGTTTTGCTGCCAGGTTGCAGGATACTGTTTACTTTCCTACCTAGACTGATAGAAAAAGGATATGACATAATTATGTTTTTAGCAAACAATAATATACAATTACAATAACTGGTCAATTGGGAAGAGTTAGGGTTTTCAGATTTTTACTAAGTGATCTGCTAAACAAGTTGTTTGTTGGGAGATGTTTGAATTTCATGTCACTGCAATCCTTTTATGTCATTGCAATCCTAGAAATATTAGGTGAAATGAGGTTTAATTTTATAATGAGGTTTAATTTGTAGGAGAGCCTTTTTAATCTCACTGAAAATTCTTGATGTTTTCATGTTTGTTGCCTCCTATAATTGAGTTGAATAAAACATATCCAATGTATCAAAATTTCAGAAATTAAGACTAGTGTATAGCATTTTAATTTAAATACACTCAGCAGTGTTACCATTCATCCATAATGGAATTTAACTGCTGTATTTTGGAAATGCCCTAGATAACGTATTGTAGTAATCGAGTTCGTTTGTGACTAGAATATGAATCAAGATAGCCAGATCTGTTCTTTCAAAGCAGAATTCATTGTCCATGAGAAAGTGTTTTATTAGATATATTATTTTGGGGATCTTTTTATTATTTTAGAGTTTTGAAATTGATTCAAGAATGCATGATGCATTTTAAGAATAATGCTGTGAAGCTATGTTTATAATTTATTTTTATTCCTGGTGAGTAGCAGTCTAGTTAGGAAGTGCTATAATTATGTCATTTTCTGCTAGAAGCTTATCTTCTGTGAAGAGATGACAAATTCAGTATAACTCCTTAACTTAATTTAAATTGACACAATTCAGGTAATTATCTAAACATTATCCTACTTCCTTGTTTGGACATACAACTCTAAAAAAACTGCTACTCACATATGAAAGAATGAGCTTTACTGTGACTTATTTATTTATTTATTTTAAAAAAACCTTGAATGCTTTAGAGGTTGTCATTCTGCTACTTCCAGTGTATTTCCGCCCCCCAATATGTGAATATATTTGCATAAGCTTGTGAGCAAAGAATTCTGTAATGAATTCTAGTTTACTGTGAGTATATTGGGCACACTGTAGGATTCGGCTATTCCTGCTTGACTTTTTTAATCGCTAAAATAAAAAGATTGACAGCAATGACTTCATGGACATGTTCATGCAGTTTTCTTGGCACAGTATACAAGTGGCTTGTTATTGCCTTCTTGAGAAATGCGTTCCTGCCTAACTCTAATAGTTCTGGGATGCTCTGATAGGCTCTTATCCAGACAGTAGCCTCTCTTGATTTCCTTAGCTTCTGAGCCTAGATTAGGTACATTAAGTCCTGCTGCCTGCAAAATATGCCTCCTGCCTATTTCTATCTTCAGTAGAAAGAAATTTTCAGATCCGAGCAGGTGAACAAGCTGTGGAAGCTCCTCCTGTTATTTGTTCTGGGCAAACCTTGCCTCTTCCCTCCATTGCACCTTTGGCTTGTTGGTTCTTGGCATCCTTGGATAGGACACCCGGTGGCATCTGTAAACACAGGCAAGGGGTCAGAGGGCAGCCTAGCTAAAGCGGCATTGCCAGATCAGCCCTGCCCTTTTCTGTTTGAGTTGCAACCTTGCATACAGGGCAATGGAAGGGCAGAACTTGTGGAACAGATCAGTTGATACATGTTTCATCATTCTGATAAAAGCAGCAAGATCCTTTTAACACTGCTAAGAACACTGTTTTGTGAATGCATAGCTTTAGGTTATGATATTGGAGTTAATTTTCACATGCAAAGTTTGCAGCACCAGAAGAAAGGAAAAGAAAAGAAAAGAGGGAGGGAGGGAGGAAAGGAAAGAAGGAAGGAAAGGAGTATTTTTACCAACTAAGGTAGACTGTT